CAGGCAGCTAGCGACTTCAAGAAACCTCGGTACACGCCATGTTTCGCCAACGGTTGTTCTGGCAGGTGCTCCAGCAAAGGCTGCGCCATGGCCCGAACGAGTTGGCGGAGGAGGTCCATGGGAGTCGAAACGAGAAGAGGTCGAAGCAGACCTGCATCGTTCGCGCTTTCGCGCCTGCTACGCATAGGAGAAGAAGTCCGTTTGGAAGCTGATCCTGGCTCAGTTCGAAGACTTGTTGCTCAGCCGGTCGTGGGGTGTTGGTGTTAGAGATGAGAGGGCAGTGCGACCACGGCGGCCAGCTTTTATTAAACCTCCGGTCTCAAGATGATGCCTTGGCCCGAAAGCATACATATGAACATATGCGAACATCAAGTGGGCACAACTGGATGTTGGATGCAATGCATAGAAAAGCCTGGCCGGCTTAACTCGGAGGGGCGAAGTTTCAGTGCTGAGGCTAGTGCGAATCCTGCTGGTCTCCGCGGTGGTCTCCTTCGTCCTGGCTGTGCTGGACGAGAAAAGTAGCGAGGCCATCATGTGAGTTCAACATGGGGCACCTTCTTGCAACTTTGGGCAGTCGAGCCGATGCAGATAAATGGAAAATATTTCTGCAGAAGAGGCAGTCGTTGGAAGAGTCCCACACAAGCAAGGTCAGTTCAACCGTGCCATAAACGAAAGAAGCTTCTAAGTGGACCGTGGATGTCCGACCTGACGTCGGAAGAGTCCCACACAAGCAAGATCAGTTCAACCGTGCCATAAACGAAAGAAGCTTCTAAGTGGACCGTGGATGTCCGACCTGACGTCAGGAAGGGATCACTGCATTCGTTGAGCCGCCACTTCGCCGAAGCTGCTACACAGTCTTGCAGCGACTGCCATGTTTGCACAGTTTAGTCTGGGGTTTTTAGTTTTTGTGCTCACGAGATGGCCTATGTCCGATTCAAGTTCATGCAAGGCTCGTCATTCTTCTCATCCTCATCGCGAATGCGTTCGTGACTTGTGCAACCAAAGCAAGTGGGACTACTCTAAGTCAAGTAAGAGCATGTAGTCGATGTTCGAAGTCCGATTGTGCTATGTGCATGACACGACTCTCATCACCCTCTGGACTTGATCACCTACATCTCACGATAGATCGCAGTAGCAGTGCTCGGTTCTCAGGTGGGTGTTTGGCAAGAGTCCAATGCGGAGAAGGCGCTGGATGCTTTGAAAAGGCCTGCCAGATTCCTGCACTCACGCTATCTCAACGGCTTGGGTTGAATCGGTAGAATTCCGATACAGTGCGACGTCTAGTCCCACCAGGCTACAACCTGACACGGCAGCTGTCCTTCGTGATGGGTGCTGGACACCTGCAGTCTCGCTGCATGTTGCTGATCTGGAGAAGGGGCATGTGCAAAGCGGCTTGCTGCGACACATGTCCAGGGTACCGTGTCCTGGCCATCCAGGACAACCGTGAATGCTGCTGGCCTTGTTCCTGGGGACGTGGTACAGGTGCCTTTCCGGCTAATTGCGCACGTTGCAACCTCCCGCATGAACCATTCCTTGAGGTCAAGGTTGGTGACAAGGTGCCAGCAGATCTCCGCGTCGCAATCCTGAACAGTACCACAATTCGTGTCGAGCAGTTCCTTGTCAGAAGATTGGAAAGGTGCCTTTGTCAAGCTGAGCCGAGTGGCGGAAGCCAAGGTCCCAGCTAACGGGCGAATCACAGAGCGTGTCCAAAGACCCGGCCACATGTTTGCCTCTGGAAACCATCATCCAGGGCAAGGCCGGCTAAAACGGGGACCTGCCTCAAAGCATGGTTTTTGTTTTTCAAGTCTGTAGGGGAAGTGATGAACAGGTAAACATGCTGTTTGCCTCCACGACGATTTCCAACGGTGCATGCGTCGGGGTGGTGACTGCAACGGGTATGGCGACTGAAATCGGAGCGATCCAGGAGACGTCGCTTTTGTTGATGCGCCCGCACGTGCACAAGCCTGGCTGCATGCTGTCAACACTTGCTAAACTCCCCTGGATAGAGGATGCCGTGCAGCTGGCAGCGGGCGAGGAGGCGACTAGGCTTGAACTGGTCGCCTCGGATCAGGTTGCCGTTTGTACCGTCGTCTGTGTTCCAAGGTGGACCGAGGGACTTGTTTTTGTTTAGTCAGCTGTTGCCAGGGCCAGCATGGTGTGTCCACTGTGTGCAGTACAGGTTGCCCTGGAATCCAAGAATCCAAGACTCAAGACTTCCTCACCATCAATACGCCCAGAAGTGACAGCAAAAGACTAGAGAGCTAGCACACATCTCGCCGTCATGTAGCCTCAGCTGTCTCGACGCACTCGAATCGCACGGCGTAGTGCCAGGAGCAGACCCCGCTGCAGCAAAAGCTGGACGATTTCGGCAACTTGCTGGCCAAGGCGATGCTTCTGCAGTAGACTTGTGCCTTCTCGTGGAGTTCTGCAGCATTGGGGTTTAGAGGCTCGGCTTCTGCAAGACTTTTCCCTGGACTGACCTCAACCCTCCTCGCCACAATTGCGGCCCCTGCGTTAGTTTCAGGTTATCTTTGCTATTTGCCTCTTGGTGCCAGCCTGAGACTGACTGACCTTCTTGACGTTCTGGCCCCGGTAGTTGTGCTGCCAATGTCCGAGCAACTATTCCGGAATCGGCATAAAAGGCGATGCGAGCAGGACCCCTGCTCCTCATTTTGCCTCAGGTGTGGTTGATCAATTACAAGCACTTCTTCGACCCCGTCCATGGATCCGTGCCTTGGACAGCGCAAAAGCAACAGGACCAAACCCGCAATTGGATCCGGCTTCACTTTAGCGATGCTTTTGTGATCTATCTCCGTGGTGACGGACAATGTGGAACGACCTTGCTGCTTTCTCAATCGGGGCGGCCAAAATCCGGAAGCACGAGGACCTCCACGGTCTTTGAACAGCTTCCTGGTGGTTTGTTTATGGAACTCGTATGTGGGGGCTCTTCGGTTTCGGGTTCCCGGCGGTTCATTCGGGAAATCGGGATAATCATCCTGGGCCTTGATCTCTACCTAGTTGGCCCAGTTGGCTGCAGTGGCATGAGGTAATCCGCGGCTGCATTTACTACTTCAAGCTGCTTGACTTCATCAGGTAGCCTCCGATTCATGCCTCTAGCGAGTCGGTTCAATGTTTGATCACCCCCGTGCCAGGAGCGACTCACATTACAGACTTACAGGCGTGTCACTTGGCCTGGCCGGTGCAGAGCTGGGCTCGAAGCCACCTTGACAAAAAAGCAGTTCATAGTTTGGAAGTTGAACCGGAGCCATACTCGACCCAGCCCTCAGCTCACGGTACCCCGGCATGAAGTTGCAGCAGGCAGTAGTTCCTGGCGCACATCAAAACGCCTCGATCAGTCCACAGTGCACTCGCTCAGAAACAGCTCGTGGTAGCGGCTGCATGAGAATGGCATCCCGGGGAAGGAGTCCCCAAGCCGCCTCGTGTCGTCACCGGAATCGAAGCCTGCTGCACGGGAAGCTGCGATGATCGTGTACCATCCAGGCAGGAATCCCAGCGACCAGTAACTTCGCGGTGATGCCAAGTGCTCTAGCCTGCCAGGCCGATGGCACGTCGGCTTTGCATTCTCCTTAGCTGGCTCTGTGCTGCCCAAAGCCATGCTCTGGGGCATCCCCAGCGGCATCCTGGCAGTGGGGACACTCGGCTGAACAGGAGGACAGGGGTCAACTTTGCCACATGTCGGGACATGGGATGATGCGCAAGGGCTCAAAGAACATGAGGGAGTGGCTTCGATCCTTTGAGTCCTCAGGCTCAGCCTTTTCATGAAGCAGCTGGAGGTTACAATGGACAACTTCTCTGTTGGACCCTTAGTGGCACGAGCACCGTGCCCATTGTACGAAGGGGTGCACCAGCAACTGTAAGTGCAGCCACGGCCTCCGTTACGGCCGTTGCATGGAGTTCGAAAGCCCTGCAGCTCTGATCTTCCGCCTTCTGTTTGTTTGCTGGCTTTTGTCCATGTGTGCCATGTATGACTGACTCTTTCTATTGGTCTTAGTCATCGTCTGCCGGCATGTCTCTTTGATGCAGATGTGTGTCGCATATGCGCATGCTCAGGTTAGCCAAGCTTGGGCAGCCTACAATGCAACTTCGATGCTTATTAATTCTATTCCGGTTGTGCTGCCAGTAGCAGTAGCAATCAGAATACCAACGTGCTTCTTCCGGCTGCCTGACAGGCGATGTGCAAGTTCCAATGTTTGACCAAGGGAAGCACAGAGCGTCTGATGATGTCTTATGCATTCCAGGGGTCTAGAGCGTCTCACGGGAGCTGGCAAGCCAACACACAATTCTGAACTCGCAACTTTGAAGGTTTAAGAGCAGTTTCGCGCTTTCGAGTTCAGATGCTTCAGACCTCCTGCCCCTTGTTCACGAAGCTTTGAGGCTTTGCGATAAAAAGGCGACCGCCCTAAGAAGCTCGTGTCGTCGGGCATACATGGAGGCGTTGAAGCTTCGAGCCTTCCAAAGTCGGTACCGGAACGAACCAGCTTTACAGAAGCAAGGCCATGCTGGCCTTTCTGGTGGTCTTTCGGACCACCCAGGCATATTCCAGATATTGGGAAGGCCAGAGTGATGGGCTCCAGGATGGTGCATAATGGTGTAATGCCGGCTCATGGAACACAGCATGGTTCGCGCAATGCTACACAGCACTCGAATGTTTGACAAGCAGCAAGGCTTCGGTGAAAGACACTACGATGCAGACTGCTGCACAGGTGCAACGAAATTGAAGCAAGTGAGGGGGGAGTGGTTCGGTGCCGCATCCAGCCTCTTTGCCTTCTGCAGCAGAAAAGAGGAAAAGGAGGACAGCTATCCGTGCGCACAAGTGACATTTCGATTGCTGAAGTGCGCTGCCTGCAATGCAGCACCTTGCATCGCTTTGAGGAGGAGGTGACAAAGTTTCAGCATTTGTGGCTTGGCTCAGCATCTGAGAGTACGTCGTGGCTGAGCCGGAATCCTGGGTGTGTCAGTTTGAATGTTGAAGTTGGGATGGATCGAGACGGTTGCAAACTGGGCCACTGCTACCATAGTGCAAGGCTTGACATACACGCCGGCTTGTACTTGCATGGAAGTCGATAATAAGCGAAAGTCCAAAGCTTCCTTGCCAGGCTGGTCCGTTTGGTATCAATGCTGTGGGCCACAGCCTTGGAACAGCTTGCAGGCCATGATTTGGGCTTCGAGGCCTACCTGCGACATCGCTCTCGGTCATTGTAAGCATCGTCCGATGTAGTGTTTCACGATACGTGGTTTTTGCGCTGGCAGAGGGATTGAAACCAGTGGGGAGTAGGTTGTTGTTGGAGCTCTTTGTAGAAGTGCTTCGGCCAAAGTGGAAAAACTCTGGAACTGTTGCAGCTTTACTAGCCCAAGAACACACGCGAACTTCATTACTGGTGAGCTCCCGAGATGAGGAAGCAAAAGGAACCAGAGTCTGCAGACTGCAGAATGAGGCATAAACTTACACTAGAGATTACGCAGTCCTGGTCGCAGCGTCGTGGTGTTGAAATATGTGAATCCAAGCAACCGTCACTGCCTTGACAGGTTTTGGACATCTCCGGCCTCAGTTCAGCTACATGGCAGCATCATCGGGGTGGAGTTTGTCAGGGTCAGGGTGACATTTGACGTTACTCTGAAACCCCCGCCTGGCTGAATACTCCAATCGTGGCGTGGATCGCCAGAGGCTTTGGTCAAGCTCATTTAAACTTAACTAAGCTCTAGTGAAACTACAGACTACAGACCCTGCCTCCGGCATACCTGAGAACTACTCCTTCGCCCGATTTTTCTTTGTTGATTTTTCATGCAGCCCCATGTCGGCTCTACGGGCATCAATTTTCAAGCAGGGTGGCATTAGAGGAAGCGCGCATGTTCACCACACATGTTCCGGCAAGAAGAAACTTGTTGTGACTGTAGTGGTGGCATGTCTGCAATTTGTTGCCGTGTCCACAAGCAGTCTGTGTCGTTTATGAGACGCTGCTGTGATTTGCAGGAAAGTGTTGCCTACGTTCGGCAACAGGAAGATACTTGGCTGCAGAGACAATCTGTTCACATACGTCTGATTTGCATGTGCAGAACATCACTGCGGGTACAGCTCAGGACAAGTGCGAGGTCATATTGCAGTGGATACAAGCTGCTGTGGTCAACCACATTGCAGCCTAGCGAGCAGATCAAATCAAGTGAGGGCTGTTTGGGGCACCTGTAACCATCTGAGGATTCGCACGTTCTGGACGTTCCTCCCCCCATCATCACGCGAGTCTTTCAAGAGCTGTCGAGAGGACGTGTTTCCCTGGAGCAGGTTCAGACAATCATAGATGCCACTCCGAAGCAAGGATTGGGCGAAATCCATGCATAAAGATCACGTTTGAAGAGCTGATTTCCCACACAATGTCGAACGAATGTGAAGAGCGACTTCAGGTCTAGGGAAGATCGGGGGAACCTACGGGGAAAGAGCTCGAATCGGATCGAATCCAAGGTGTCCTTCCCTTTCCCATATGCGCAGATGATTGCTTTCGCTCTGATGGCAAACAGCTTAATTATGCCCGCGGCAGCCTCAGCCGGCAACCGGAGGTTTTTCATATCGCTCAATACCCAGCAGCACGAACACAGAGCCCAACGCGTGCAGTATTCCTGTAGGGCCCCTAGCACATCGCATTCCGACTGGAAGGTGCTCTGCGCCTCTGCGATGGACTCAGAGGCATGGTGCTGGGGCATCACGACGATTAGCATCACTGCTGCCAGTCTGCGAGAGAAGGCGTTGGTGAGTCGGTTCGGGAGACGGATGGTGTCCTGCACGATGTTCACCGTCACTAGATCTCGTGACCCTAGCATGTTCCCCTCTTGTCCCTTAGGCTCTTTGGGGAGTGAACTATACCGCCGGCGAACTCGAGAATCCGTGACTCAGCGATGTCTGAAGCAACCCCAACGGTTTTGATCTTGCTGCTGGATCGACGTGCTTTGCAGTCACATCATATCGCAGAGCAGAGGTTCAATGATGACTGGAACGATTTGCCTTTGAGGGACTACTGCGAGGAGTTCCGAGGGGCTTCGTCGAAAAGCGCTTATAGCGACATTGTCTCTGCAGCAAAAAGCACAAGCACTACTGCTGCAAGAAAGTCAGGGTTTCAGGCAGGCTACAAACACGAGGGTGGTGCACTTTGCACAGAGAATTGAGCAGTCAAAGCTTCTGCGGAAGGAGGCTTCTTAGTGGCAGGCGCCGGCCTCAGCGTACGAGCATCTCAACGACCCAGCAGATAGCAAACATTGTCAAGACTCGACTGCACTGTAGGACCAGGCAAAGCATGTTCCTGGTGGATGGTTTTGAATCGGCTTCAACATTGGATGGTGACGTTGAGGAACCAGGCTTGTAACATTGTAATTAGTTTCCCTCTGGAAGGCAAGGGGACAGGTTCAGCAAAAATGGGCCCAGTGACAGATCTCTCGACACTACGGTACCTGGCAGCCCTCTCCCAGAACCATCGGTGTTGCGCGTCGCAAGAATCCGCTCCCCCAGAGCTCAGACTCGGTTCCCAGAGGTGTCCAGAGCTCCATCTGGAAGAGCCATGGCGCAACAGACACGGGGAATCTCAAGCTTGCGGAAGGTTCTGAGTTCCTGATCCGACCTCAGACCAAGGACTACGGCAGCGTGAAGACGCAGAACTGGGGCCTTGCGAACAGGACTCGAGCAGGGCTTCCTTACCAGTGTCGCCGGGTAGGGACTCTGTCTGCCTCTGGCGTAAAGGACCGCGGTGGAGAGAGATGTGCGGGCAAAGTCGGCATCCACTGCAAAGCAATCCCAGGTCACCTTGCGGCAGCGCCTCTCGGCATAAGCAGACAGCAAGTCCAAGACGGTTTTCGACTGCAATTTCGTGGGTTACTCCTGTGCCCGAGGATTCCTTCGCAGCCGGAAGAAAAAGGGCCCCACGGCGAATGGTTTCGGTCGGCATGGGAAGCCGCGGGCAGGGATGGAGAATGCTCTATTTCCTGGCGGCATCGCTTGTGTCCATCTGCTCATCTCCACACCAGGAAAGCTGCATCGGGCCACGTGCTGCAGACGTCAGCTTGGTCAGGAAAAGTCGACATATGATCTGAGGTGCCCAGAGCACAGCAAGCATGAGCACGGCAAGCTTGGAGGAGGCAGGGTAGCTTTGAAGTCCAGCGTGTGCTTCCTCCCTGTATTTCTGCAGTTTGCCAATGCCTGTGCAGAACGCCTTCCTAACAGATGTCCTGGCAGCGGAGAACTCGTGCCGATTCAGCACTCAAGTTTCACCGAGGTCGTAACTTTCTTCGTTTGTGGATGTGTTTGCACGCAGAGCTTTAAGCATCTCGAGCTCGTCTGCATTACCGCTCCTTGGAAAAGGACTGCCCCCAGCGTACCATCCGAGCTCGCCGTTGAGAAGGCCAGCACAAAGCATTGCTACTACTGCTCGAGAGCCGCGAGCCCATCCTGCGGTCCAGGCTGCAGATGCCTCGGCTTCGTGACCTGGCCAAGTCAAATGCCGTGGGTCCTTGAGTGTCCCTCCTTCCAGCATCTTGCAATCGCGGCACGAACGCCGCACAAAGGGCACTTTGAATTCAGCAAAGGAGCACCGGCTCTGTGATCGGCAAGCCCGCGGAAGACGCCGAGCCAGGCATGAGATCATGGATTTCGTGTCATGCATTGTCAGGCGTAATCAGTCAAGCAGAGGCTCCAAACCCTCAAAGGAAGTGGATGCTCTGGCTGCTAAAAGCTAAAAGGCTAAGACACGTTAGACGATGTTAGACGCAGTTGCCTCGCCTGATTGGCTTCAACAGAAGCGCGATTGCCTTTCCTGGCAAGACACGTTGTGCCATATTCTTGTTTTAGGTGACGAAGCCAGGAACGCGCCCTTCCTTTAAGCCACTTTTCAGGGGCGGGGGGGGGGGGTTAAGAACGTCATTCGCACTGCGACAATGCCCAGACCACTGGCCAGCGTTTCGCCTCTTCTCACAACATGCTGCGCAAGGAACAAGACGCGTTGTCACAAGCGTCCATGCCTTTGGCGACCGTGCCGAAAACACTGGTATTTACCGCGATTTTGCCTCTCTGCACAACATACAGTGCAAGGATGTGGAACAAGACGCATTGTCAAAAGCGTATGAAGCCTTGGCCGGCCTGTGCAAGAAGTTTAAGGCCTGACGAAGTTTCGCTTGGATTCTGCGCGTGAAGGCTGCCGCCGCCGATGTTCTAGCACTTTAAGCATCCAAAATATAGGACGTTTCAAGTATTATTGCCCTTCTGCTTGATGCATTTTGCTGTAAATACTGCATACTGCGTTTTGCCAGGGTTTCACCAAGTGCAACAACAAGCTATATGTAAAAACGCAAGGCGCCGTTACCTGGTTTTAGGCTTTGCACTGCAGGCTCTAATGACTCTAATCATGTCATGATGAAGTCTTGTTGGACCATTCAGGGATTTGCATGCCAGAGTTCCCGACCAATAAATCCGAGCAGCCAACTAGTAGCCAACTCAATGCTCCCGATTGATTGTCGATTGAGTTTGCAGAGGCTGCCACCTTTTATGTGTCAACTTAGGCCAGTGTAAATTACTATAGCACGTCGTCACTAAACTTGCTGGAAGAATGTGTGCTATGACTTCAACATGGGGTGCAGGAGATTCCAAGGAGCCGGTCCAACCGGTCGCCATCGAGGCTCGTGAATTCTCGGCGGATTGCTTATAATGTTGTGTAGTGGCACGGAAGGTTGACCCAGACGATGCGGAGACAGAGACCGCGGAGATCGAAGCAACGAAGCCAACTCTAAAATTAAAAGAAGAATCGAATTGGACCTTTTGGTCACGTGTAGGCAGTGTAGGCTGCAGTCAGTGCTGATGGTCTCTCATGTGCGGGCCGGTTCATGGCGGCCGCAAGAGTTGGGAGGGAAGGCATCAGTGGAAAGACAGGGCTGATCGTGCCTTACGTGGAGCTTGGCAAAGAAGTACACCGAGATGGTGAGTCCCGTTCTCAAGTCTCGCAGAAAAAGAATCCTTCCGGGTGCGCAAGCCGACTCATGGAATACTTCACAGCCGGGTCGGTCTACCCCCTAGATCTTTCAACTCTCAGATCCCAGCTCAGGGCAGCTGCGGTTACTCCGAAAGCTCCTTCGAAGAAGGGCCCTGCCGCAAAGAAGGCAGCTTTTTCCGAGCAAGTGCAGGTTGACGTGAGCATGCGTGAGCCATCGGTGAGTTTACATTTCAGACTCCTACGCATGCCTTGGGCCGACTTCAGCCTTAGAGCCGAGGGGACTGTACTGTGGGACTGTGGGAACTGTGGGAACTGTATACTGAATCATATAAACTGCCCAACCAACGACCAGGCCGCTGGCGAGCCCAAGCGGAAGTCGGCCGACCCCAGCTCGAGCTCGAAGGACTGCGACCTGCGCTTGCAACGATTCCATCGCGCGCGCGCGCGCGCGGCCGCACACTGCGCCCTGGCCATCAGGACAGAGGAGGCCCAGCCCAGAAAGCCAGCCCCCTGCAAAAAAGCAGGCGCAGAAGCTGTCTCAAGGGCGAAACAGGCTGAGAGCAATCGGGCGTCGCATGATTTGCATACCTGGCAAAGGTGATCTTTCTTGGCCTGCTTGTTGTCACCCTTTGGAAGCTGGTGCATGAGTGCATGCGCAGGAGCCGCATGGAAACGAACGAGTCTGCAGAGTGAGGCCGTGAGGCAGACTGCCTCAGGCTTCGGGAGAAGCTCGCAAAAGCACAGAGTGCCGCCTTTGAAGCCTCATTTCGGCTTCATAACCGTATGCCGCGTGTCCCTATGCCCGGTCTAGGTCTGATCCCATAGAGGAGGTCGTCTTTCCAAACCTCAAACCTAGATCGGGAAAGCGCGCCGTGATAATGTGGCAGATGATACCCGGGAGCCTCTCATGCTCCCTGGGAGGTCATCCTGGAAATTGTGTTGAAGAGGGCTCCTCAGGTTGGTGAACACAGCACGTGGGCCCTGGAGATCCGGCCTAGTGCTGCGGGTGACTTTGACTGGCCTGCCCATTGCCTTATAGTATAAATGGATCTAGACACGTCCTTGATGAAAGACAGCACTTGCGATGTTCGTGCAGTTGCAGGCAGGCGTGAAATTAACCTGGGGCCCGGAGCTAATGGTCCCGGCATGCATTGCGGTGGGGCATGCCCTTGACTTGCACCGAACGGTGCTGTCTGTCTTCGTCTTCAGAAGATGTTTTCCCCACCTGTTGAGCTTTGCCTGCGTGGCCGAACGCAGAATGCGTTCTTTCTTCATACTAGTCAGGGTGAGGCCGTGAGCGCCACACAGGTTCCGGCTTGTTGCGATGTCAAATCCTTCGATTGGGGCAAGACATAGCAAGACAAAGCTGCGTATCTGACTGACTTCTTCAAGGCATGACTGAAGTGTCTCAGGATTGCCGTTGCTCTTGCGGTCGCTGCCATCCCAGAAGGACGCGTCTAGCGACCAGCGCTTGCAACCTGTTTGGACGGGTTAAAGTGCGCAGCAAAGGCACGGTGGAGCTTGAATGCACTTGGCTGGAGGATTGCCAGCAGTGATCACGACCTGCCTCGCCCTAGGCATCTGCAAGCAGGGGTGCGGGTCGTTCTGCGAGAGCGGGGGGCGCAGGGTCTAACTGTTAGCGAAACGGGTGCCGAGACGTCCCATCATGCCATTCGCTTTTTGTCTGATCGGGAGGGTGTGAGTTGGGTTCTCGGTGATTCCGACTTGAAAGCTGAGTTTCTCAATGGTCATCTGCAACGCTAAGGATATTAACAACCTGACTCTTGTTTTAAGTTTCAACAGATAATTGGGGTGGAAGCCTCATCAACGTGGCCTGCTGCAGGATAGAGAAAGCAACGTGTCATCCCATGTTTCGTTTCCACCTAAAGCACAACAGTTGCATACAACAGCGGGTACGCCTCTGCTTGCCAGGCACAAGCGAGATGGCGAAGAAGCTCCTTGGTTGCGCGAATTCTGCATGGCAGGGCAAGCCCGGTTGTAGCAAAGTCTCCATTCACCTGAGATGTCTGCGCACGCCATGCAGCGGGTCCACGGCTGGGGCTGTAAATTGTCTTGGTGATTGGCAGAGCTGATCAGACTGCTCAGCCTGTCCTGCACCGAGGAATGCCATCGTGCGGAAACTGCCATCTGTGGAAACATTGGGCTGCACATCAGTGCCCCAGCAGTGACCAACGGGATTCAGCTGGATAGGGTGGGCGCGACTGCTTGAATGAGCGCAGTGGAATCCCTGCATTTTTTGCTCCTGTTTGCACAACGCCTGCTTTGTCATCTGCACGAGCTATATTCGTGTTGGCCAAGGTTATCTGTTCTGACAAGACTGGCACTCTGACCACAAATGCTGCATGGATGCATGGTGCATGGTCTGGCATGATCTAATTAATCGCGAAGCTCCGAGCTTGAAGGGCATCCAGACACCCGTCATATGCACCGCCGAAAAAATCGATCCTGGTACGGCTTGTTCAGATTGGCCATTGCCATGTTGTCTCATGCCGAGATGCTCAGGAGATGTGCTGCACACGGCTGGTCATTCCAAAATCGAGTGCCTCTGGTGCAGTTGCAATGAAGCTTGGACCACCTGAGCCTGCCATGGTGGTCTATCCAGGTTCAGAGATGGTTTCCTACGTTGTGGAGGGCCACAGCTACGCACCTGTGGGATTGGTCCAGGGTTTGTCAGAAGTGGCCCCGCGTCTGCACTTCAGTCTGAAGCGCTCCACGCCATGCGGGCAGACAAGTTTGTAGTTCCTGCAATGCTTCAATGCGACATCAGCCCATACAGGACTGGCAGCAGCAGGGCAGCTTGCAGGCTTTTGCGAAGATTGCCGCGCTCTGCAACGAATCCAGGTGCAACCAGTCGCTCTTGCAGTGTGTGCATGCAGGTGTCATAGCTTTCAACTGGAAAGCACATCTGAGAGCACCCCTGCTGCGCATTGCTTCGCCTTGACCACTCCAGGTTGGAAGTCGAGGCCGGGTCCTTCCGAAGAATGGGGGAGCCCACCGAGGCGCGGGGCGGACGCTGCAAGGCTTACATGGCTTAGGCCCTGACTCGTCAGCTCGACTACAGATTGCACCAGCCAGAGGCGGCTTTGTTGACTCTGGTGGAGAAGCTCGGCGTGCCTGACCCATTGCTGCATGGCTACTTGGTTGAAATCATGTTCCCGTCGTTCAGTGGAAGGGAATAATGGTTGGAAAGGTCTGCACGACTCAGCATCTTTCTTTGGGCTCAGAGTTCATTTCGTCCGGAAGGTTGGGGAAGGAAACAGCTTGACAAGAAGCGGGGTAGATATGCACCTCCTCCAGGAAGGTGCTGGCAGAAACCCCGTGATCGCGAAGATGCCATGGCCTTTTGCAAGTGACCCGTGATTTGTCAGATGTTCTTGACACGAGTGCAGCAGCACTGCTCGCAGCAAGAATGATGAGAGTTGTGTGCTCGAAGCAGGGAGGCTACTGGAAGACACGCTTAGCTTTAGTTGCTTGATGCCCATGGCCATGTTCGCTGCCGTCTTCGCACACTTGCTGCTGGGTGCAGCTGCCAGCTCTATGTATTTGGAGTCATTGTGCCGCGGCCAGATCTGCGAGACTCCACAGCATCCGATGCTAGACTACGATCCAGACGAGAAGTCGCTTGTGCAGCAATTCAGTCGGAATGCCAGCTTCAATTGTGGTCCGTGCGATGCCATGTGGCACATGGCGATGACGATTCGAGGAAGTGCGTGTGCCGGTCACACCCGTGCTGGGACGACAGTGGGCTTATCCACAGTTGTCCAGATGCCGCGATGCCATACCTTGTGTTCCACTACGACCAGGCACGCAGACGGCAGTCGCAGATGTTCTCTGAGAAACAGGTCTCCTACAAGTACAGTCTTTGCCCAAACCGGCAGCAACGCCGGCTGCAGCGAACTAGCTCGGCATGCAGCCAGGATCTGAAGCTGAAGTGTGAGTGTGCGACGCATCCCTTCTTCCAAAGCGTGGCTTCGCTGCACCTACTTGCGTCAGAGAACAGTGTTGCGAAGATCAGCACTGAGCGCACCAGTCCTTTGCGGGAAGTGGGGTTTCCGAACGAAGGGTGTGAATTAAAGCCTATCGCCACGACAGGCCACGAACCTGTAACTAGCATGGATGCAACCACAGAGAAGGCACAAAGTGCCAGTCGGACACGTGCAGGTCTACTTGAGCAAGCACTTGTGCAAAGATCAGTTTTGCCGGGACGAGAAATTTCCGATCCTGGACTACAACGACAGCACCAAGGAGCCTTGACTGCTTGCCTTCACCAGGTCACCCACTCCACGTGCCATTTGATCAGAGGAGATCGAGGGTGGCGATATGATGAATTTGTTTCCTCATGTTCGCGACCAGGGTTCTCCCTTAGCCTGGCCCTAAAGAGCGTTCCGGCGACTGTGTACCGACGCCAACCCAACCCACGAAAACAATCACGAAACTGCAAGATATTCGACCAATCTTTGGCAGTTCGTGTATGTCAGTCTCGGTTGGAAGACCAGGGCCCTGATCTCTCCACTTGGTGTTCCCGACATTTTCCGACCGGGCTGCCTCCAATCACCCTCAGCCCGAGAGCCTGGGCAACACGCAGCCCAGGGTTTCCTGCTTATGCTTAGATCCTGGCCAAAGTACGGCTGCAAGTTTTCTTGCAATACTCACGAACTGAAGCCACTTTGTGACATGTGACAAGCAGTGGGCATTGCAATTTGTTGTGGCCAAGAGCTGGGTGCCAATGCTTAACTCCATTCTGCGCCGGATTCCCTCCGCACCCTACCCGTGCCGGGACGACCCGCCACCGAACACTACTTAAAAGTTTCTGGCACAAGATGATTGCCAGGAGTGCTTCTGCAGAGCGCATCCCTGTTGGGACATGGATGGCCAGACGCATTCTTGCCCGAATGACGACTTCCCTGTCTTGCGCCGCTGGGCTTAACTCAGACTTAGTGTCGGCCGCCGCGTCCTTGTCATGCCAAAGTCAGGATACCGCGAAGACAAGGATGAGAAAACCGGCGAGACGAAGACGGTCTGCGACTGTGTTAAGAAGATGGTCCCGCCAAAGGACGAGCTGTGACAAATGTTTGTGTCAACCTAGTACAGTAGCAAATGGCACGTCAATTCAGGGTCAGCCACAGACGCTGCACCAACGACAATGTGCGGAGCGAGAGGAACAGCCGGAGGCAAAAAACGAGTGCCTGCTCCAAAGATGTAGCAGCTGTTGAGTTCTAAGCACTGAGCCGTCACCAACACTTCTTGAGGACAGTCTGGCAGTGCGGAATCGCGAGGTACTGGACCTCGAACGTGCAGAAGAAAGCAACCCTCGAGTTCACTCGTGACCGCAAGTCCATGAGCGTGCTTTGTGCCGAGGCCGTGGGGCCTTGTTTCTTCATTCGATCTGAAAACTCTGACAATAACCCAGCATAAAGGCACTAGTGGATTCGGCCATGCCTTGGTGTTGCGGCAGGACTGCATAGTTGCATTGCAGTGCGGCCTGAGAGGCTTCTGGCGCAGCGATGCTCTACGTGAAGGGAGCTCCGGAGAGTATCCTTGAGCGATGCTCAAGCCGCCTTGCTGCACTCAGGCGTGGCCGTGCATGGCCGAGGAAGTTCAGTGCAAACCTGCACAGGCATTCTCCTGCCCAATGGCCCTGTGGAGCTTTCCGCAGCCGGACGTCAGGCATAGCTTTCTGATTTCTCTGCCACTGCCATGTTGAGCTGCGTTGATCAACCAAGCTTGTTCCAGGCCATTCGCAGCAGCTTCGCCGCCATGGCCTCCGAGGCTCTGCGCACCCTGGCCTTGGCACAGCGATCCGGCGCTCTGGCAACGAAAGCATCGCTCAAGCAGGTAAGGAGAGATTCCTTTGATAAGGCCGTGGAATGCTGAAGATAGCAGGCGGCAGGGAGCAAAGCAGTGGTACAAGACGTGGTGCGGGCATCGTTTTAGGCTTGATCGGATGACTGCCAGGAGAGTGCACAGGGCGGTTGGGTCAGGACGCTAGCAGCGGCCCTTCCGGGAAGCTAGTGGTGGTGTCTTGCGGTTGTCCAGAATGTGTCAGGAAGGCCTGAAGGTGCTTCGTTAGTCAGGAATTCGGCGCTTGGAATTTGCAGAACAGCCACCCACTCCGCGACGTAATGTACACGACGCTTCGCCTATGTCGGGTTGAAACTTAGAGGCACCTGGCAGTCGCAATAGGTCAATAGGCCTGGATGCACAAAACGGCAAAAGTCGACACAGGGATTCTGTGTCCTGAGCGAGAGATCATAGAAATCCATGGACTTAAACTGTAAGTGGCTCGCTGAGAAGTCCCGGAGTCCAAGGCTCGGAAGACCTCCTCTCCTCGCAGCTCCTCCGAGACACCTGGCTTTGAAGACCCCCGGGATCAAGAGTGCCCTGCGGCCCTGTGGCCTGTCTTCCTCGGATTTTCTGCCAAGCCTGGCACAGGCACGAGTATTGTAATAATCAGTTATATCATCTTGCAGACAAGGATCCTGCCAACTTCGTCCAGGCCGTGCACAAGCACTTCAAGCACTTGTGGGTATCGGTGCGTATCTCCGGGTATAATACGAAGACGGTAGTGGGTGCAGCTGGACGTATGTACGCTTCTGTGAGGCGTCTTATGCTTGTACCGCCTGATGCTTGTACCGCCTGTGCAGCTCAAGCAACCGTTTGTTGTGCAGAGCTTTCCGCAGAGAACTCCGGCTGCCATGGCGGTGCCCTGCCTGCGGCAAAGAATCGTGGCCAGATTGCAAAAGGGGTGCTTGCAAAAAGTGTTGCAGTACGGTACGACAGCTGCCGCTGGAAGTGGTCATCAACTATGTGTTGGGATTGCACGACTGTTGTGGTTGAGGTTTCGTTTCGAGCAGCACAGAGGGGGAGGGTGAGAGAGGCCAATAAACAGCGCACGCTGTTAATTAAGATTGGCTTCAACAGCGTGATGCAAGCAGGCACGGCAGGTCAACGTGCTTCACCGCCCTCTGGCTGGTTTCCATGCTGTAAGGCCCCCCGTGAAGGGACTTGCAGTTGACATGTCTGCAGACGGCCCACTGCAGCCGAAATTCATTCAGCGAGCGGCGTGTCCGTCCATCATGAGACAATCCATGCAGGTGCGCTGGTCGCTATTGACTGTAAGTCAGTTTCTGGCTTCTTGCGAGGCACATCTCCAGGGAAAGATACAACAAGTTGCACAAAGAGTCGATTGCAAATCCAGAAGGCAGCGTGGGCACCAGCAGTGAATGAGCCTTGCACCGCATCCTCGGCCACCCGACTAAGACTTAGAGAGTGTGAACATCAGAGGTGTTTTTTCCAACTTATGATGCTGTAACTTGTGTGAAGATGTCGGCGTGGCTGGGCCAGTGGACGGCACTGTGCTGGCTGCTGGCTTCCAGACACAGATCTCCGGAGTTGCAGAATTGCAAATCCCGGGATCACTTCTTCCAAGCACTGGATGGAGTGTTGAAGTTGGGCGCTTGTGATGTTGTGACTGGGTCAGGATTTTGGTCGCACGCAGCAGCAGCAGTCTCTTGGTCCAAGCCATGGAGTACAGCTGCTTGTCTCAGCACACGGCCGTCGGGACGTCAGAGCTGGAGGCTTGAGCTTGAGTTCAATTGGGGCCGCTTTTGGTTGGATGCTGTCACTAACGCAGAGAGCCATGTCTGCTGGATCCCAGGTTCTCGACCGCAGCAATCCACCATTCTATCGCTGGTTTCCAGGACCGGCATCACTGAGCTCCGTTGGGTTTGAACCCTGCCGGCTGAGCAGCGAGGTAAAGCAATGCAAAGCAATGCAAAGCATCAAAGGGCTCCAAGTGTCGTATGTTTTGAATCGAACTACGCCCCTTTTCGTGTGGAAGATGTTCATCCTCTCCTTTGTAGTCCTTAACTGGATGCCTCACCAGGAGCGCAGCTTAACATGTGCTACAATGCCGTCGACAGGCATGTTGAGGCTGGTGACTCGCCCGCACATACAATAGATTCACTCGAGTTTCGCACTGCGCCAGCTAGAAACACAGATAGCTGGGGCGGATAATGCTCGATGTTTTTCCTTTTCGTCGGTTTTGTGGCCCGCTGTGGTGCCATGTCACGATGGACATCGCGATGGCTTGAAATCCATGGAGCGTCGGAGCAAGGCCTTGGTGGCAGCAATGCTCTGATCTATGACTCACCTCTTGCTGGCGTGCCGTGGACCCACAAAGTATCATTGCAATCGTGGGTGTTTGATGTTTGTGAGCGATGGCATGTTCAGGTGCCGCACAAACAACACTTCCCATCCTGCCAGAAAAGCACGAATCTGGAAGTCCGATGCGAAACAGTATGATTTCTGTCTGGGGGAATGACGGTGCGGCTTTGTGCAATGCGGTCCATTGCTTGTAGTTCCTGCTTCCTCGGCACACCCCNNCCCCCCCCCCCCCCCCCCCAGTTGCGCAGGCTTGACAGATGGATAATCAGGAGGCAGCTTCTTCCAGTGTTGGTACAGGGTGAAGCACCCTATAGACTTGCAACGTCCATCCCCCTAAAAAGGCAGGAGAAACGTCCGCAAAGCTATAACCAAGCGCAGAACCAGCGGTGCTCGCTTTCGATGGATGTTGGTCTTTGCAAATTCGAGCGCATGCAGGGTTGGAGCTCGATGTTTCCGAGAATTAGGTTCTCTTAAGCACGCTGGAGGTGAAGAAGACCTTCACTTACTCGGAGCTTCAGAGAGAGGCCGTGACCTTGGAAGGCTGCCAGCGGCGAAGTCAGTGAAGTCATAATTGTCAGAATTGCCACATGTGAGGTCAGCAGAACTGCTGGTGCACTGGCCAAGCTTGGCATCGGCAAGGGCGACCGAGCGACTTTCGAAGCAAGAAGAGGCTGTGGTACACTCGAAAAGGAGGGACACCTGCATCCTCAACAGCCCGACGAGCCTCAGAGGGCTCAGGGCAGTATGACTCCGGGTCTGAAAGTTTGCAGGATGCCACCTTGTAATGCTGAGGTTGTCATCTACATGCCAATGATCTCAGAGGCAAAGCTCGGTTGTTCATGCTTTTTCTCCCAAGCTGCTTGTACTGTACCGACCAGCAGCGACTGTCTGCTGGCACCAAGCGCGGATTGAATGCGCAGGCAGTGTTCGCCATGTTGGCCTGTGCCCGCCTCGGCGCGCCGCACTCCGTAGTCTTCGGGGGCTTTGCCGGGTGGCTTGGAGGCAACGACCAGAAAAAAGGTAGTAACCCTTCGCGGTCGAGTTGCGCGGTGCTCAGGCCAGAGCTGGCAACTCGCCTGGAGGACTTCCAGCCCAAGGCGAGCGTCTCTTGCCCTCGCGCGGACGCTATTGGACGTTTTCGCCTTGGGAAGGCCATCATCTGGGCTTCCTGTGGGCTGGAGCCCAAAGGACCCAAACAAGTCACCGTTACCGTTCTGCACCCTTTGCTCGGAGTCCTTCAGCCAGGACCGGTGGAGTATCAGCCTATGATCAAGGAGGCTTTGGAGCTGGTGGAGACCACTCCTTCGGCCGCATGACTGCGACAGCCTTCTGCTGATGACTGAGGCGAAGAAGGAATCCAGTATACAATTTTCCCTCTAAGGAGTGCTGCCAAAGCCAGGGAAAACAGGTGTGTTCGTGTTCTGGCGGACAAGCCGACGCCAAGGTCCGAATCTGCAAGCAGCGGCCCGAAGCAGCGGCTGTTTTGGATGGAGACCTGGAGAGACCTGAGGGTTCTGCCTCTGCCCGCGATTATGTTGGAGTTGTGCTAATTACGCTAATCCCGGGCGGGACAGAGCTGCCTTAGCTGTGGAAGCATTGTGAAGTTATGAAGCAGCTACGGTCGTCTGTTCGAGCAGAGCGCGTTCAGCTTAACCTGCCATCTTCACAGGCCGTTCACTCGAAGCTGGCTAGGTCAGAGGCTGAGCACATTGAGCTAGTTCACACCAGTCTCGGGCGTTTGGACCAGACGGACCCCAGCAATACATAATAATAGGTATTTACAGGCATGTGAGCGACATTTTCGCAATTTTCAATACTGTTAGCTGCGCTCCTTTCCTAAGCGTTCCTTGGAAAGGAGCGTTGAACAATGCGAGAGTACAACGGGGCGCCAAGGTTTGAATCATTTTTACCTGCCGATGTTCAGGGCCGGGAAGTCTACTGGGGAGTCTAGTGGTTCTTAGCAGGGAATGGGGGAATGGATCCCTATGATAGTCCCTTAAGCTACCCTATAGTAGTCCCAATACTCCATGTTGGGATGAAGCCAGCACTTCCGCCTGCAGGACTGGGATGATGCCCTGGCGACTGCAGAAGAAGTAGCCTGTGCAGCTCGTCCGAAAACCAGGTTCCTAGTAGTAGCTAGGAGTAGGTCGGAGGAAAAAAAAAAATATATATATATATATGTATATATATAGATACACAGTGCATGAACACTTTTTCGCAATTCCTGCACCGCAGCTTGTCTTTGTGGCAGATGTTGGTCTCGATTCAGACGAATACCGCAAATGCGGAAGTGGGAAGTACAGAGCAGCCAGTGCTCGCAACAGTAAGGAACAAGTGGATGCAACTGACCCACTGTACATGTGACCTGGCTGACCCGGCTCAGAGTTGTCCCGCAATGGTTGTGCTGTTCCTCGAACGCGATGTGAGGCTATACACTTCTGGCTCTACCGGTAAGCCCAAAGGGGTCTTGCGAGACACTGGCGGATACGCAGAGCCTTGGCTTTCGATCATGTAGAAGGGTGTCATGCATGTTGGAGAAGAGCGGGCTGACTGCAAGGTGGCCTTGAAAGCCTCGATGGCACAATTCATGAACATGGCTCCGGGTGAAGCATACTGGGCGGCTTCAGACATTGGCTGGGCAACCCTGCTAAAAGCTAGCAGCTAGCAGACATCTTGGCTGGAGGAGAAAAATGAAAGTCTGAGCCAAGGTCGTAGGCCACTCATACATCGTTTATGGGCCTCTTCTCCAGGGATGCGCCACCGCCAGAGTCTCAGCACATCTGTGTGCGAGCAGAGATGAACAGAGATTTGGCTGCAGTCGCTGACAGCCTGACAGCCACTGGAGGTTCTGTACGAAGGCAAGCCTATCGGCACACCAGACGCGGGTGCCTTCTGGCGAGTGGTCGAGGTGCTAAGCCTTGATTGTGAAGCAACTGCGTTGTGCAAACCTGCAATCTTCTCCCAGAAATGACCTGGGCCAGGAGTATCAGGTCCGAGCCTTGTTCCTCGCACCAACAGCTCTTCGAGCTATCCGGCGTGTGGACCCTGACGGCGAGCTAGTTCGCCACCCTGCTTCAAGCTGAATCAAAAGCCGATGATGGACGTATGGCATGCAAGCCGTTCCATTCTGAGGAAAGTACAACTTGTCTTGCCTTCGATCCCTCTTCGTTGCCGGGGAGAGAAGCGATCCAGAAACGCCGCCTGGACGGTTTGGGCGGGCTACAGAGACTGGTCCTGAGACCAGGACTACATAGACCTGCGTCGCGATCACCACACGCACCATGGTCACCTCCAACAGCGCTTTCATCCATCCTCGGTCACCCCTGACTATCTTTCAGCACGGCTGCAGAAGTAAGCTAAGGAGTCGTTTCTATGCATCGATACTCAATGTCGGCTACTACGACAACTGGTGGCAGACAGAAACAGGCCAGATCGATGCGAAGTCTGTTCGAGCCCAACTCTGTAAACCTGTCAGGGCATCCAATCTGCGGCCTGCAAGAAGATTCAGTTGGACGAAAGGAGACCTGGGCTCAACAGCTTAGGGGATGCAGGCGCGAGTCATTCATGTATCGCCACAGGCTCCCTCCATCCACATTCCCCCTTCATGCGCCGCAGAAGGGAACGCACTAGTAGACTTCGAAGGACGGCAGCGCCGGCTTACCGCTATTCGGTTACGATGTTGCCGCGGCTAAGCTCAAGGTGTCGTGTGTCTGCCAGTTAGAAGCAGGTCCGACTCCATAGTGAGAGCTTGGTGGACTGGAAGCCTCTGTTCGTGATTCTTGTGCGCAAGGTTTTCGATGAGCGCGGGCACATCATGCAAGAGCCCAACCATGCTTCCCGTCGTCATGCCATGATTCTTGAACTTGTCGGGTGACAGTGAGAACGGGTCAGATTTCCTGAAAACGGAAGGCTGGCCACCTGGTCGTCAAGTTGCCTTTGCCGCCCGGGACGTTTCCGAGCCTCTGGAACAATGACGAAGGCACACAGCACAGCGCATCTGGGGACCACGATTACGAGACTTGCATGGACAGGCCGCGCAGCCAAGGAGTCAGAAACCGCAAGATCTCAACCCCACACCGCACTGATTAGAATGATTAGATTCTGAAAGCCCCACAGCGATCCCAAAAGCACACCTTGAGACCAGACCCGCCCTGTCCGAGCGACGCGTCGACAAATTAATCAAGAGATGCAGAAAGAGCAAACAAAGACGAGGGAGAGAGAAAACTGCAATTTGACCGAAAAGCCCAACCTCTTTCCGCCACCGCACGGATGTGGCCAGCCTTTGGCTAGTTCCGGCAGAGGGGAGCAACCACGGGTTGCAAGCAGTGCAAGCAGGATCAAGCAGGCTCAGACGGCTGAGGCATATGCCAAGAGCCACTGAAGCGCAAAGCAGCAAAAGAAATCTTGCTCAACTGTCGGATGGTCACATGAATCGTAGCAACTTGAGGCCCCTTTCGTGAAAGGAAACGTGGTTCGCGGAGCATCCTGCCAGTCTGGAGAGCCAGTCTACAAAGTAGTTCCCGTGCTTGTGAAGCACAAGCCTGTCGCGGCTGGCCCTGCGCAAATGCGCAGGCTTTCTGAAGAGCTACTTGGAAGAGTTTCCTGGCTACTACAACAGTGGCGATTCTGGTGTAATCGACGACCATGGATACGTCAGCGTCCTGGAACGCATCCTGGTCGGCATCCTCTATTCCACGTGATGTGTTACCTTCACGTGTTGCCTGGTGGACCCGTAGGTACAATCGCCAACAACTCCTCATTCTCCGAAACTCAATTCCCCGAAAATCCTGTCCCAGGAGTTGAACTTGCTTCAATAATATAGGCACTGAGCTACTACTGCGTGAAGAAGTTTCGGGTTACCGACCTCCAGCAAGATTCTAGAAGTAAAGGCTCAGCAAATAGATTAGCATCTGGAGTATCCACGAAGCAATCTCGAGGCAGCGATGATGTGATTAATGTGGCAGCGCATCGCCTCAGCTGCGGGCAGATCGAAGCATGCATCAAGGCACATCCAGCGACTCTGTCAGCACATGGATGAAGTGATGCTGATGGTTGGAGCTTTAGCTTTACGTACACAGACATGCAGAGACAAGATCTGGCGGCTTCTGCTTCAACCCTCGAATCGCGGGCTTTGTCTACTGAGGATATCAACGATTGTGCCGTCGTTGGTGCCACCGATGAGCTCAAGGGCCAGGTCGGCGAAGCAGACTTTTCTTGTGGCGGTTTGTCCTCGTTTGTGTGGTTTGCCATTCAACGACTTTAAGTAATTCAAACTTGAAGACTGCTGGGGACCGTCGTGCATGTTTAAGACAACTAAGCGGGAGCACGGTGTTTCATCTAAAAAATGTGTTTTTCACTGTGTGCAAACCATGGCAGGCGTAGCATTTTCTGTGATTTAGCTTTTCGCTTTTCAGTGTCTTTCTTAAAGGCCAAAAACACCGCGCATGGCGATGTTTTGATTGCTTCGGTGTTCGGTTGTGCAGTTTAGCCCCAAGTTCGTGTCTTTAGCGATTACACTTGCCAAGACCTACATCCGAAGCCCGGAAGGCCGCAGCCAAAAACCCAATTCCCTAGAGTCAGGTCTCAAGGCCTGGAGATCAAACCTAGCGAAACCGCGAGCTCGCGGGCTAGTCGAATATCACATCGTCGGCAGCGGAGCACCGCGGAAGGAGCAACGCAAAACCAACACGACAAACAAGAAGTTGGTTCGGCCAAAAGGCAAAACTGCGCAGCCGCTATGTCAAAATGAGACGGGTTTGACTGGACGTCAAGCCCCGCTCCCCTACCCCCCCTCCTCCCAAGGCACGACAATCGACCCGCTGCTGGTAGCATATATAGATGATTGAGAATCAGGAGGTATTTAGCAGAACGAGGAACCTGTTCAGGTGCCCATTGCTCTGTTGGTGCTCATGGATGCGACGTCCCGCGCTAAAGAAGACATTGCCCGGCTCTTAGTCCGAGCTTGGAGGAAGCGATACGGGACGTTGCTAACATCGCTTGAGGTCCAAGAGGTCAAGGCAAGGGTCCGCCACGACATCGGGGCCATTGCCTCCTTAGCAGCCGCCGAGGTCGATACGGCAGTTCGGGTTGGGTCTGCTCATGTTGCGCAATGGATCTGCTGCATGCATTTGACCGAGGTCGTGGAACAGTTGCCGAAAACCCGGAGTGGCAAGGCCTTGGCTGTGTTGAGAAGCCCGCAGTTCGCGGTGCTTCGACGGCTGGAAAGCCGTTCGAACCTTCTCCAACGCCTGGGCAGGTGTTGCGAAAAAACATCCGTGGCATGGCCGATGGGAAGCTGCCACCTATACCCGGCACCATCGAGTGCACTTGCAGCAAGACTTCGGCAGCTGTTTTTTGCTTTGAGGTGCTTAGGTTCCGAACCTCGTTCCTGTCGCCGTTGATCGAAGACTGTTTGGACTCCCGTTGTCCCATGTGCTAGTCAGTGGAGCGCTCCAACACCATGCTCTCATCGAAGGAATCCGCCTGCACTGGATTTCGCCCTGAATGGTTTGAAGCGGATGGGCTACGCCAAGGGGCTGTAGCTGGCGAAGTTGTTTACAGATTCTCCTTTTGCTAAGGGCTGCCATCTTCCCTGCACAGATATCTGGGCAGAGCCCAGACCTCATACTTGTAACTGCTGCTGGTCACTCGTCGGCTGGCAACAGTCAACACCTGCGATTCAGACGTAGAGTATGGCCAGCATTCATCCGGGTGAAAGCAATGTTCCGGATGTTGGAGCAGACCATCGGCCACTGCGTTTTCAATTGCATGTGCCCGACAGTGTAGTGCTCCTGTACATAGAAATAGAGTTGGCGCGGCTGTGCTGCTGTCTAGAAGAGGTGAGATGGCATTGCACCTGAGTGGCTGAAGTTGCATAGAAGATACTTCCCGATGTTGAAATGACTGCAAGGTGGAAACAGACCTGACCTTTGTGGGACTCGTCGGGATCATAGACCCGCCTCGGCCAGAATGCAGCTGGGTTGCGTTTCGTGTCCTTGTTGAGAGCACAGCTCTGTCCGTGTCGCTTCCTGGGAGGTCTTCAGGCCATCCAGGAGTGCCGGACGGCTGGCATTAGTGAGCCTTGACGAAGAGCACAGCAGGGATGGGCTAAACACGTTTGGAGTTTAAACCGTTTAAACATAAACATGTTTAAACATACTTCGGAGATCCGGCGTTTAAACAAAT